AGTTACTTAATGCGAGTCAAATTCTAAGGCCCGTGCCTAGCACCAAGGACACATTGTACGTGTCAGTAAATTAATTTGAAATCTGATTTCTAAACACCTTACCATGCTAATCATCCTTTTCAGTGTATATTTACTTCAGTGCCCCCCTCAAATGTAGTGTTAGAATTAACCTAATTAGCCCAGCCTCTAGACCCCTTAGTCTGGTTTTTTTTTTAAGATTTATTTATTTTTACTGCAAAGTCAGATATATAGAGAGAGGAGGAGAGATAGGAAAATCTTCCATCTGATGGTTCACGCCCCAAGTGACCACAACAGCTGGAGCTTCACTGATAAGAAGCCAGGAGCCAAGAACTCTTCCAGGTCTTCCATTAAGGTGCAGGGTCCCAAGGCTTTGGGCCATCCTCAACTGCTTTCCCAGGCCACAAGCAGGGAGCTGGATGGGAAGCAGGGCTGCCAGGATTAGAACTGATGCCCCTATGGGATCCTGGCATGTTCAAAGTGATGACTTTAGCCTCTAGGCTATTGCACCAGACCCCTAGTAACATTTTTAAAAGAAAGAAACACTAAAAGTGTTTTAATGTTTATAGTAACCATATAACTCAGCGTGTATTGCTAGTCCTGAGGTCCTTGTTAAGGCGTAGAAACGAATTGTAACTGAGTGCCTAGCACTAGTGAGTCTAGCAACTGGGTGGCTGGCTGCACAAGCTTCTTTGGAAACTGTGGTGGTGGATTTTGAGGCCTGTTGCAAATTACCAGCATGTGCAACATGGATCAAACAGCCCTCCTGGCTCCCTGGCCAAATCGCTGCTATACAGAAAAAGAGACATGTTGGTAAGATTCACACTGGTAAGGCCAGTGTGCCCCTTCCTTGCTGTAAAATAAAGCTTGTGGATCAATGTCCACTGATTTCAAAAAGACAAACGCCTCTGCCTTGTCCCTAAAGCAGGAGGGATAAGAAAGCTACGCATGTTGAGAGGATTAAATGCCCGAGCCTGTACAAGCAAACAGTAGTCTTTGTTCTTGATTTCGTTTTCTGTGGTTTTTGCTACCTACAGCCAGCTGCAATCCAAAGGCATGGCACGGAAAATTACGGAAATGCATTTCCTAAGTCTTCAGAATTTTCATTACAGAATATTGTGATAACTAGTCTATATTATTAATAGTTACTGCTATCAATCTCTTACTATGCCTAATTTAGAAATTTTTAACATAGATATATACGAGGGTATTTCCGAAAGATCACGAGAAGTGGAATTTACAAACCAGTTTATTTTGGTGCAAAAGAGTTTCAAAATCCAGACCATGGGAAGAGTCTTCCAAAAGTTCATGAAAAAAACTATGCCTAGATTTCTAAAGTTGGGGTTGGGGGAGGGGCAGCATGGTGGCTCAACAAGCTAGTCCTCCACCTTGCAGCACCGACATTCCATATGGGTGCCAGTTTGTGTTCCGGCTGATCTATTTCCCATCCAGCTTCCTGTTTATGGCATGGGAAAGCAGCAGATGCTGGTTCAAGTTCTTGGCCTCTTACCCCCACGTGGGAGATCTGGAAGAAGAAGTTCTGGCTCCTGGCTTCAAATTGACTCAACTCTGACTGTCGTGGCCATCTGGGGAGTGAACTAGCAGATGGAAGATCTTTCTGTCTCTCCTGTTTATCAATCTGCCTTTCAAATAAAAAGATAAATCTTTCAATAAAAACTATGCATAGATTTGTAAAATTGTTGCGCCAAAATAAACCTACACTTTAACTCCATTCTCATGAATTTTTCAAGTACTCTTGGATGTACACGTGAAAAAATAAAAAATGTTAAGTGTAGTAATAGGATTCAGTATTATCAGGGGTTTTAAGCATCCATTGGGACTCTTAGAACATAGCCCCAGCAGACAAGGGGAAATGATCGTGTTATTATCTTGCCATTGTTCTTATAATTGTCCTGAGATGATAGAAGCATTATTTGTCTCATTTGTCTCATCAGCTAAAGTATTTGTCCAAGGTCACACAGTAATCCATGGTTAGAAGTCATGGAGCCTTGGACCATGAAATCTGAGTTTTCTTTTCAGTCTTCAAGTGAACACACCACGAAGCCACATGAAGCCCGGAGGAGCCTAGCGAGGTGAGAGCGCCCAGGACAGCCCCTCACCTCCAGGCCCTAGGTGTTATTGGGATAACTTGAACCTTCTGGATCTCTTTGCTATTTCCTGTTCTTCCTGTTTCTTCTGCTGGCTCATCCCCCTCTCTGTTCATTGCTTATGATACTTATTTTTCCATCCACAGCAAAACAATTCACATCAAGGTAATTGATGGTGAGGCGTATGAGAAAAACAAGAATTACTTCATTGAGATGCTGGTCCCCCGCATGGTGGATATGAGTTTTCAGAAAGGTGTAGTACCCTGTCCTCCACACTAACATTAACATTCTTCTCTTTCTTCCTCTCTCCAATCTGTGTGTCTCCTTCTCCTCTTGTCTTTTACCTCTCTGATTCACAATCCCTTTTTTCTCTCTTGCTATCTTTTTACTTCTTCCTCTCGTCTATGCTCCCAGCTCAATCCTAACACCTACCAGCCTGTCACATGGTATGCACAATAAGGATGTTGGAGACTAATGGTTATTTTCTTCTGGGATGAGAAAATGAGTATGAGGAGTGAGGGTGGTGCTGGGAGGGGGACACACACACACACACACACACACACACAGAAACAGAGATAAACCTAAATTCCTAGGACTGTTGTGTATGAAGCTGTCATTTCTCCTGAATGGCTTAGTGCACAGCAAGAAGATAACCAGTTAACACAGTACCAAGCAGGAGGACAGCAGTGGGAAACACACCCTCGGCATGGATTCCCATTCGTGTCCACATGGCAGTTATATTCAACACTGAGTTTGCAGTCCAGGAAGTGTAATTGCATGATGGTTTGTCCCATGCTCCAAAGCAAGTCTGTTGAGGTGCCTTCTTATCTGTCACACCCTGACTGTCAAAGCTGGTTTCTTGCTGTGACCTTGACAATGCTCAAAGCACAGGTTTCAGTTCTAGGTCTTAACTCTGCCATCCTTATTAACAGCATGTAGGTGTAGAGGCAGGGAGTTAAAATAGTGGTAGAGGGGATTCTGATATGAGTGGAAGTTCCACCAAGAGTCTGTGGGACTTCTCAGACTGGAAGGAACAATGTTTTAACTTTCACCTTACATGACCCCAAATACCCAGTAGCATCTAGTTGGCATATCAGGAAATCCTCTGGGACAGTGTCCCTTCCCTATCCTACCCCCTCCAGGCTGGACACATGAACGCTCAGTCCACCCACAGTGGGTCCTTATCAGCAAAAAACAGGTTCATCATTTGTCATCACCCTCAGGATCCTCCATATAGGGCCCAGAGAGAAAGTCCCCACATTTCCCCTAGAGCAATGGCCTTTGATCCACTGAGCAAGGTGTGAAAGATGCCAATAAAGTATCTGAAAGATAACCCCAAAATGGACTTGCAAAATACACAGAGTCCTGAGCCCAGCAAACTACCTCTAATCAATCTGTTGTTCTATGGGTAGAAAATCCAAGTGCATCTACAAAACATAAAAACTTTGAGGGTCTGAGGGCACATTCAGGCTGCTGGTCATCAGCACCTCCTTGTTATTTTTGAAACCATTAACATTTTAGGCCAAATAGGAAAATAGGAAACAGAAAATAATCCCAGACTGTTCCTAGGACCATGGATACCACTGTGGTTCCAGGAAGAGCCAGGCAAGCCAGGCCTACCCCGCAGCCTATCCACATGGCAGTGGGCCTGGGCCAGCCGTGAGCCAGTCTTTGAAGACAAGTCATGCTCCCCAGGTAGTCTTTTGATTGGCAAGGTGGCTTAGCTGTAAAACACCTGTGCTTTGAGACATCCAGAACTGAGCAGAAACCTTCATCAGCTGTGCTCTACACTAATGGTTCTCAGCATTTAGGAAACCAGCTCTGGAATACCAACCCCCCCCCCCCCACAGACACACCACATGATATAAATCCAAAGGTGATTCAGAATTTGATGATCTGCATCATTTTCTCTACATTTTTTCCCAAGAGTACCTTATTTGTAAATGGTAAAGGATAGTCCTATCCTATATCATGGTGTGTTTAGTAGTATGTTTCAAAAAATTGGTGGAAAATGCAGTAAAAATAAGTTTACCCCAGATTTTGAAATCCATGCATACAAGGGATTGCCCAGAAGTTCATCAAAAACGCATATTGCAGGGAAAAATGTTATGTATGAATTTTCATAATAACTTTTGCACCAAAGTAAACATATCTTTAAACTCCCTGTTCCATGAACTTTTTCAAACACTCTCACACATACTTGTATTTTATGTTAGTTCCCACTACTGACACTCCCTATGAAATAAACAATGAGAAAGATGATACTGTCTCTTTTCCTTTTCCCCCCTCTCTCACTCTGTATCTCTGGTATCTTTTCTTCATAAACATTTTGACATTTTTAGTTATGGCACTCACGTAAAAAATAAGGGACACAAGCCCTGGGTTTTGCTGCTCAGCTTCCTGTTATGGAAGGAACCTGGGTGATTCCCAATAGAGAGCTGGTCTATTGCCCCAAAAAATGCCATTGCTACCATGTGACACCTGATGGAATGTGCTTCCCAACTCACTTCCTCCTAACCTTCAGCAGGATCTAAACCAACTCCTCCTCCCCACCATCACCTTCCCCCTTCCCTCCAGTCCTCCCATTTTCTTCCTGGCCATTCCAACGCCCATTCTTTGCCCACATTTCCCTGCCTCTTGGATTTCTACCCCTATTGCCATAAGAACAACTATGACCAAAGGAGACAAGAAAAGCTAAGCCCATTTTTTTACACCAGAACAGCATAATCCACCATTATCCTATCAACAGCCTCCATGGCAGGACCGGGCTGCATGTGCCAAGAGCGATGGGGAATGATTTAAAAGGCTGTGCTCCAGGTGAATGAGCAATCTACCGACCCACTCGACATACTCTCTCTTTTGTTGTCCCTACAGGAAAACCATAAGGGTTAAAATAGTAGATGAGGAGGAATACGAAAGGCAAGAGAATTTCTTCATTGCCCTTGGTGAACCGAAATGGATGGAACGTGGAATATCAGGTGTGAGATTCTTTAAAAACCAAACAAAAAGAAAAGCAAGCAATTTAAACAAACTGGAAGGGGAAAAAAAAGCCACTACCTCTCGCTCTTCCCCGTTTTCTTCCCTTCTGCTTTCTCCTTCTGACCAACATTTTGGTTCTTTTCCTTCCTATATTCTTGCTCTCACTCTGTTTCGGTATCATCTCTGCCTTTTGAACTTCAGTTTATTTCCAAATTCCTCCTTTCCCGCCTTCCAGGCAGCACTGCAGCCTCAATTCCTTATCGCCCTCATGAGTCACTTTCATGTTTTGCTATAGTTATCCCATGTCCTCACCATTACTGTCTTCTGCACCCCCTCTCCCCCCAGCACCCCACCCTTATACTGTCACCTATGAATGTGAAAACTCCTTGGTGGATGGAGAGGATAAGAAAACAAAAGGAATGAGATGTTGTGCATGTCTGTGCCCTGTCTTGCCTTACTGCCCTGCCACCCTGTGCACTGTGGCCTGGATTGAAGCTGAGGGTGTTGGGGTTGGGGACTGGATGATGCTTTGCCAGTCATCTGCTGTATTCCCTATCCTCCACTGAATGCTTGGCAGGTTATTTTCCTGCAGGGGAACCTGCAGGTCCTTCTGCCCTTTGTGGAGGTAAGTGCATTACATGAGTATTTCACAATTGGGTAGACTGACATGCAAAGATATAGCAGTTGTCAGAGACAATGTGGCAGCTGGATTCTGGGGTAGCTGTGCAGTCTGGAATCCTGAATTACCCTTCCCTTACATCTCCCTTACCCTAAATACTCCCATTCTTCCTCTGTCCCTAGCCCAGAGTAGAGTACCTTAGGATCATGCAACCTCTAAAGCAGAAAACTGAGTCTGCAAATGGGAGAAAGTAACCATAGGCATGGTAATTCCCCTAGCCAGTGAGCCCTGGAGAAGGAAAAACAGTGTACATGCTGACACGTTGACTTGTGGGTTTTCCAACAGGAGAAAGAACTTTAAATGGTGTAGTTGGTGCTGACACCCGAGAGACAGGCGCTGGACGGTTCAAGGACACCTGCTTTTGCTTGACATCTACAAGTGAGCATGTCACCCAGACCCCACAACCACCCTTATCCCACACTAGAGATCAGCTTCACCTCCTTTCACTGAGACACACACCTCAGATTACCTGCCGTTGGTTGTCCCTGAGGGGCTGACCATGCTGCAGACAGAGCACATGTAAGGAAGGATTTCTTTCCTTGAAGAAAATGATCAGAAACACTTACATTGGAAATGTTGCGGGGGGCACTGCGGTGTATAGATGTGGGGTGGAGAAAGAATGCTCCTGAGAAATCCCAAGAGAAGGACACTCACAGAACGTGATGAGAGTCTTAGACTGGGGTGGTGAAATTCACCTAATGGTCCCAAAACAATGGTCACTCTATAACTACTTTCCTGGTCACGTGACAAAGGGCAGCAAAAAGCCTGTCACTCAAAGCCACATGGAAGGAATTCAGCAACGATACTCCAAAGGGCTCTTTTATGGGGCTTCTACACAGACCCATCTGACCACTTGGCTCTCTCCGTCTGCTGGGGCCACTCTGCAGAGCTGGCCTGTTCTCTGCCCGTAGTGGCTTGGACATACCTGGAGGCAGAAGTCCTCTCCTTTCTCCAGTGCTCTCTCTCCTGCCATCAGTCTGCCTGCCAAAGAAAGTCTCCATTTCCTCCATTGTCTCCCTGCCAATCTTCCAGTTCTTGTGGCCAAGAATATTCTCAGAAGGTGTCTCAGCACCTGCTCTACTTCATTTCCACATTCATTGTGGATTAACTCCATGATTGCTAAGAAGCAGACAATCTCCAAGGCCATTGTAGAGCAGCTTCATCAGATCTCACAGTTCCAGCTACTCAGGTGCTAATGCAAGTAGCGCAAAAGATGTTTCAGGGCAGCTGGAAGGACCCATGCCTTTATTTCAAACATTTATTTTAAAGTCATAGAGACACAGGGAGACAGACACAGATCTCTCATTCACTGGTTTATGACCCAAATGCCTGCAACTGGTGTGAAAAGGACAGACCAAAGCCAGGAGACAAGAACTCAATTCAGCTCTTCGACATAAGTTGCAGGAAGTTGGAGTTGGAAATAAAGACTGAACTCAAGCCCAGGCACTCTGAAGTAGGATTTGGTCATCCCAAGTGACATCTAACTGCTGTGCCAAGCAGCCATCCTCATCCATACCTTTGTTCCACCAGTAAGGAGGCTCTTATGCCTTCTATAATATCTTCTACCAGCAGCTGAGGGACAAAGATGAAGACCGCTGCTTTGGAAGAGGTCTAATGAGTTGAAATGTCTACAGTCACTCCCCATCTGAGGATATACTGCTTTATTGATTTTATTCTTTGTCCAAGGAAGTATCGACATGCCCTGGTGAAGCCTTATTTTGAGAGGGCAAGGTAAGTAGATGAGAGAAGACAAAGATTTCAGTAAGCTCTCTGGTACGCACCCAGCAATTCCCAGTGACCAAGATACTAGGATGGAAGGTACCAATAAATTTCTCAATATCACAGCCTCCTGTTCTCTTTCCGGGAGGTTAATTTTCACCTTCTTCAGTTCTTTCCAGATTTGGGTATCAAACCAGATTGTCTCGACTCAAAATCAAATGAATAGCTTTTCCAGATTTCTAGAATGCCCCGCTGTTCTCTGAGTAAGAGATGGTACAGCGGAAATTACCTTTTGTTATCTCTGCTGCCTGGGAGAGTCTTGGGAAGTCAGAGTGACATAAACTCTGCATAGTGAAATGACCATTGCATTGGAAGAAGGGGAAAAAAAGACTTGAAATAGGAGACTATATTCTTGGCAAACAGTGCAGACTTCAAAGGTGAGCTTAAGAACTCACACAAGCCAGGGAAGGGAATATTGGAGGGATGAAAGGGCAATCCAGTTGGCCTGAAGTTGAGACACAAACTTCTGAGAACAACATTGAGCAGTTTATCCAAGGCTTCTGGAGCTGGAGCTGAACACTGAAAGTCTCTCAAATGGGACAGGAAAGTCTCATCCCCAAATTGGGGCCTGGTTGTTTCTCTTCTTTCTACCTCCATGTGCTTACCTGGACATGCTGCCCAGATGTTTGCCGACTAACAAGAGCTACGTTCATTTGTACTCATCTCTGGAGTGTCTGGGAAGGGATAACGGATTATCACCTGTCCCTGGGGACCAATACAGCAGAAGGTACAGCTTCAAATAGTCAAAGAAGCAGCAGAAGAAACCCCTCAAGCTATCACATCACTTAGAGTTGGGCTGCCTGGAAGTTGCTGATCCATCTTCAGTGGCTGAGGGGGAAGATTTGGATTCGTGGATGCAATGACCAGAGAATGATACTACGCCAGCTACTTTCAGGTTCTCTCACTGCTTCAGGGATGATCCAGGCATCACGAGGAACCTCTGAGCAAAAATCAGAATATCAGGCACCTTTTGGTAAAAGACACCCTTATCTGATCTGCCTACATACCCTGATACAGCCCTCATCTTGTCTGCCTAGGGGCGTCTGATCCCCACCAGAACTTGAGGGCCAAAACTCTGTGCTCTTTCATGCATTCCATAAAAGGAGCAGAAGAAACAAGCTTTCTGTTTTCCTGTCTGTCATCTCTCTATCTGTTTCAGTGTTAGTGAGGAAATTCATTGATTTATTTTCTTTCTTGGAATCTTTTGAGGAGAAACATCAGAAAAAGTCAGCTGTTGTGTGTCTACTCTTTCACATGGATTCCAGGTCTACATGTGACTTCAGTGGCTGTGGATATGGAATGATGAATCACAGGCCTGAGTTGCATTCCTAGAGAATCTTAGAAGAAACAACTCACACACCCTTTACACACGCACACACATCTTCCTCATCAATCTCAGTCACCAGCTGCACTTGGAGTGCATAGAAGGGCGTTTATAGATCTCAATCTGACAAAAGCCAAGAAATGAGGGACTGTAACAAGATATCCTTGAGATGAAAATGTAGTGTGTCGTAATAATTTTTGCTTTTATATTTAGACCTGGAATTCTAAGAGAGTCTAACTGAAGTACACACTCAGGACAACCTGTGTTGAGTGTGTCTGGCTCAATTTCCAAGTCCATTTAGGAGTCTTACATTTTTCATCTTCGTCCTACGTACAGACCTTAATATGACAACTTTTTTGTTCTGTAATATCTGGTTTCTAATTTAGCTTATCTTTTCTGGAACAATAAGACCATCATTCAGAAATGCAGCACCATAGGATCTTTAGAAAGGCAGTTTCCAAAATAAACATTAAAGAACGAATATTTATTATGTGCTAGTAAACATGGGGACTATGTTAGACTCAGGTGACACAAAAATGGTAAAACTTCTTGGCCCTAAACTCCAGAAGATGTCAACAATTCAGATAAAATATTCTGCAGGAATTATATGTCACTAAACTTTTCTTTTACAGAGAATTCAAGTTCTAGCCAGCATGGTAGCCAGGAAGCCATTGGTGGCCATGAAAGCCTTGTAGGCACTGTTGCCCATGAGCAAGATCTGACTATGAGGTCAATGATAGAAAGCACAGAACTGAGCACTGTCCCAGTCTTGCACATTGTAACCCATGCCCTAAGTTCCCATTGAAGCTCCATGGTGATATTTGCCATGATAAACCAGCTACTCTAGCAGAGTTGCCAACTACAGATCACAAGTAAACAACTTGGTTTTGACCTCACCCACTTGAGTCCCCCAATCCTTGTTCCTCCACCCTTAACCCTCAGGTTACAGAGAAGACATGGGGTAAACTCATAACCGCAGGCCTTGGTGCCTGCCGGCCTCTTCAGCTGTCATGCCTCTTGCTGCTGCTGCTATGCACGCTCCCAACGATGCTCTTTTGCATGTGGCTGCTGAGCTTCACCTGCCAAGCTCACTGGTTTCCTCTCGCTACCAGCAGCCACAGAGCCTGAGGATGTGCCGAGATTGGACCTTAATGCTCTCTTTTCTCTCTTCTCCTTTTTTTCTGGTATCCATTTGCAAGCAGCGCTCCTGTTATCTTCAGGTAAGAGGTGCCTTCCTCCTCTTTTTTCAGTTCTTGCCAATCCCATTGATTGGCTTAAGGCCGCTGTTCTTTATTTGTTAGGAATTTCAGGCTCAAGCTAACTTAGCATGCTCTTCCAACAAGTGGGAGTTTATTTCTCCACATGAAGTAATGATGCGGAATTGGGCAATTCCTTGAACATAATTTCTGTTGGTGAATGTGGTTACAAAGGCATAGCTGATCCTTTCTGAGATCAGAAAGAGAAGTGAAATTTTCCAAGGAGATGGTGGATTATAGACTTCCCCTACATTGTAGCTCACCTGCCATCACCTGTTGTGGGAGCCAAGATGGTCAGAGTCAGAACTGTAATCTCCTAACAATATTGTGATAGAAATTGAAAGAAAATGCTTTAACCCTGAGTGATCTAGGAGAAAATAATTTGAGAACTATGAAAACACAAAAAGCATTGTTTTAAGAATCTGGATAGATTTGGGAAATCTATCCCATCTCACAGCTAAGACTGAAATAGTTATAATTTTAAATTATTTTTCATTGGCCTTTAAAGCCATATGTTCCATGGCCAAGAAGAAGAATTAGAATGCTACAGGAGTTGGAGGCAATGTTCTGGCTGGAACTAAATATTGCAGAGGATTCATTCTAGAGACAGCCTCATGGATATCTAGGTCCAGTGTAGAATATACACTTACTTTGAGAGCATACTTCCATGGGTGGAAACTAGTTGCACATGGTATCTAGCTGTGTGAGCAGTTAGGAAAGCATGCCCAGCACATATGGTAAAACTATAACTCTTGACGTTGGTGGAGTGGGCTACACAAGACAATTTCAACATACTTTATAAAAATTGCATTTCATCAACTCTTGAAATGTAGAAAAAAGTTAAGATCGCTTAAGAAGCAAAACATTGTATTCAGACTCTTCTGTTGTCTCCACTGTAAACTCAGAAGGGTTAATGAGGGGCACATTTGCTTCCTGGAAGCCTTAAAAAGAAATGTAGACAACTGTTACTGTTCATTTATTTCATCTTCCTTTTTATATCATCAGGATCAAGCTACCTCCAGCCCTTTATGCTTCATTCTTTTCCCAGGGTCTTTATTTCATTACATAGCCCTTCTTCTTCGCTTTACTTATCCTCTTTCCTAGGCTGTTACTTAGTAATTTTTGTTCCAACTCCTACCTCCATCTCACACACATACCTAGACCCAATGAAGATTGTGATTAAATTTATTCTTCTTTAGGCTTTTTAATATATTTGCAAATCCCGATAGAAACTAAATGAATGTGGAGGAACAGTACTTGTTCCTAGATCTTTCAATCTGTAAGCCTTTCACTTAAGAGTCTTTGATTAGGCTTTTAAATCCACTGGAAACCTCAAATCATTCCTCTAGTTTTCCTGGATGAGCAGACAAATATAATTAACAATGCCTACTGGGGACAAGAGAAGAGTAAATATGTTCATTCTGAGATACCCCACCAAGTTAGGGCCCTGGGAGTAAGCATTATCCATTTCTTTCTGATGATTTTTGCAAAAACATTCACGGGAAACTATTCTTGTCTGGCCTGGCATGCTCTTTGTTCTTCCAACATTTATTCAGCCTTCTACCCCATTCATACTCTGTCTTCTCCCCTACTTCCTATTCCTAGAGCTGAGAACATGTTTCTTCCATCTTAACATCAAGATTGCCTGTTATTTACTCTCTTTACTTGAAATTCTGAGGAGTTGCATAAACAAGTGTTCAGAATCACTGTGGTTAATTTTAAGTTCAAGATGTATTATCCTCTTCAAAAATTAGCTTGATTTTATTTTAAAGCCATGATTGTGACAAAAAGAGACAAAGACAGAAATGGTTTGCAAACCAAGACAATAAATCAGAGTTGATTTTAAGGGACATGAGTCAATCAGTTAGCAGAAACGTGAAGAGTGCCTCTGTGAGGTCATGGGAGACCCCAAAGATAAGAGGATTGGTTGTTTGTCAAAGAGGTTTTTGTAGAAAATCAGACTGAAAAACCAACTGTCACCACAGAGGTGAACAGGTCACTAGGCAGATCAATATCCTGCCAGATGGATATAGTGCTATATTGATAGCTGGATAAGGGGTTAGACAGGTACATTTTTATGTCACAGGAGAGCTCATTAAATTGGTAAAGTGCTTGTGGCACATGTAAACTATGACATGAGGGAATTAAGAGGGGAGTGAAATAATATTGACACTTCCAAGACAGGTAAAATGAGAGAGTGTGATTCTTTTAAGAGAGCCATGTGCTTTTTCTGTGGGACTTTCCCAGGATGGCTTGCAGTCTGGTTTCTAGTTGGACGCAGAACCCTGGATACATCCATGTTTGCTTTCAGATTTTGTTTATCATGTATACAGGCTACTAAAGGTTACTATTTGGAAATGCACAGAAGGGCAAAAATCCTTGAGAAATAGTTTCCAAGACTGGCAACCAGCCGAGGAAAGAAGACAGCACCATGGACAGCTCCCAAGCACGCTAAGATTGCTTCTGTATTTGGTGCCAAGGCATTGAGTTAAACAACCAGCTCAGGAATACTTCACACATTCACATAACATCTGTGTTGAGGTCAACTTGGTGATCCTTCTATGAAGAATAAGCCTCTCTGCTTGGTAACATACACCATTATCTTCTAGTTTTTCATTGAATTGCTTTCCTTGCAACGTCAAAAGCTTGAGTCTTATGCCTTCTCTCACTTCACCAGTTCTCAAGCTGGAGAGAAAAGAACTTCTTGGCCTCTGACCCATTTTGTCCTTGAGATTATCTGAGGACTAGAGGATTCCCCTTGGAGGCTTACTGTATGGAATGAAAGTAATTAAGGAGCCGAATAAAAGAATTAATTGCATGTGAGGATGTGGACTTGGATGGGAAGATGTTTAAATGAGCTCTGAAAGAAACAGGCTGCCAAGAGCAATTTTCTAATCAAAGGGGAATAAAAAGATTCAATCTCTATTTCACTCTAATCCAGAAAACATGTCTTCGTGGTGAAGTGGTGTTAAAATGGACTCACCAGCTGAAGCAGAAAAAATTTCCAACTGCTCAACATGAAAACCAACCCTTGGTAAATGAGTCAAGATGCCAAGGGACACAAAGAAGGTCTCAAATAAAGGAAGAAACCTTTAAAAAAAATTTTTTGGATACATATTTATGTTCCAGAAGAAATGTGCCTGGCTCATATAGAAAATTTGGGAATTTTTCATTGGAGCACATGAAATATTTTTGAGAACTCTTCCAGGTTTCTTATTGTGAGGCTCATATTCACTTGTATGAAATGTCATTATTCCTTGAAACTTCCCCCCGTCTCTGCTTGGAAAGAAGATGGTGCCAACAGTGTTAGAAATAGATGTTAATGTGAACCAGTGGACATTCCCTTTGGATGTGCTTCGATACCTCCCAGAACACTTGCATTAAAAGAGTTGAACAAATAGGACCAAAAGTTCACAATAGTTAAAGTCAGTAGTGTTTTATTTTGTTTTGGTTTGGTTTGGTTTTTAGCCCCAGTTCCCTAGCATCCCACTGAATGACTGGGGATCTTCACTTGGTACTACTTCATGGAATGTCTTTAGAGTAGGTTAGCCACTTAGGTATAAAACAGGAATAAAGCTTACCCCCAGGCCAGCAGGAAATCCTCATGGAATGGTCTGGTCATCAATTAGCCTGACACTTCATAGGAGAAGGCACTAAAAATACATAAAATCTTCATTCTCAAAGGTTATTTGTTTAATACACACTGCCCATGCCTAATGTCCTGAGGTATAGAACTCCCAGGGGAGTAGAAAAGGTGTTAAAATGCATCTGTTTTTTTTCCCCCCCAGAGGTGACAGACAGGAAGCTGACTATGGAAGAAGAGGAAGCCAAGAGGATAGCAGAGATGGGAAAGCCAGTGTTGGGTGAACACCCTAAACTAGAGGTCATCATTGAAGAATCCTATGAGTTCAAGGTCAGGCCATCAGTGATGTTAATACTAGATTAATTAGGGTGGGAGGCAGAAGATCTGGAGTGGTGTTCCAGTTTCACGAAGGAATATGTAAAACTAAAACTAAACAAATTACTTACCTACCCCAAAACTCAGTTTCCCAATTTATAACTATGTTAGCTATTTGTTTGCTAGGCATATTGCAAGGAAATACAACAGAATGTTGGATAAATGGGCTGGAAATAAAAAGAGTAATCAATATGGCTTAGTTGTATTACTAAACCTTGCTTCTACAGAACAAAGTTTACTGACATCTTATCATTACTCTCTATTGTATTAGTCTAAACATCCAAAGTAAAGTCATACCAAAGAAAACGGGAACAAGGTTGTCCCTGAAGATACCACCTAAGACTATTCCATGCATGATTCTAGAACTCCCTCAAATACATGGCATCTCCTGAGTGGCTCCAAGCATTCTAAACTCATGGTTTCCAGTTTTCCTCTCCTTGACAGGCTACAGTGGATAAATTGATCAGGAAGACAAACTTGGCCTTGGTTGTGGGGACCCATTCCTGGCGGGATCAGTTCATGGAGGCTATCACCGTCAGTGCAGGTAAGAATGGCCTCAACGAGTGGGCCTTGTGGAACAGTGGGTTAAGCCACTACTGGTAAAACCTGCATCCCAAAACCTGCTACTCTGCATTTTCAATTCAGCTTCCTGGTAATGCACTTGGGAGGTAGCAGATGATGGTCTCGGTGCTTGGGTTACTGCCAGATGGGATTCCTGGCTCTTGGCCTTTCCTGGTCAAGCCTTGGTTGTTGTAGGCATTTGGCGGTGGTGGGGAGGGTACGGACAGGGAGGGTGAACCAGTAGATGTAAGTTCTATGTTTCTTTTCCTTTCTGCCACTCTACCTTTCAAATAAATAAACAAGCAAATAACCTTTCTTCAAAGAGGCTGGAGGCCTCAATGTGACCTGACTGGGAGAAGCAGATAGCCCTTAAGAAGGAAGAACCTGCCCATTCCTGAAAGTCTGTGCATCCAATCTTCCTGGCTCAAGTCCCAGGTGTATGCCTGCTTTGTTGGGTCACTTTGAGAAGAACCATAGAATAACAAGATGACTATGGCTGTCTCTGGCTTAAAATCCTGCTTCTGCTGGGTGAATGGGGACAAGTGCCTTCTCTGACCTCAGGCTCCTCATCCCAAAAGGATGCTATTTCTAGGGAATGCGGAAAGGTGTGGGATTGGTTATAAGAAGCAGCTCTATGAATTCTAGTTTCCCTCGTTTCTTCCTGTTATTACCCTGGCCCTCCTTTTACTGTCAAGTGGGGAACCACTCTGATTTAAGGACAAGATGGCCAGACATTTATAAAGTGCTTTACATTGACTGTCAGACAAACCTCCACCCTGGATAATTCTGGATTTCCCTTTTGGAATTTGCTGACAGGTCCCTTAAGGGGGTCCCCATGGCACATCTGGGAGTCCCTGAGATCTAAAGATGGGTGTGGAGTGAGAGTGGGAAAGTTCTCCAAGCACCAGCTCTGTTGCCCGTCAGTACCAAGGAGCTCTCTGCACTGCCAAGCGCTACTGGCCTTGTCTTTTTTTTTTTTTTCAATGAGGCTTCGTTGTCATAGCAACCCACAGGGTCACATCCCCAAGGCCCCAGAGCCAGCGAGGGAGGTTTGTTGTTGGCACCGCTGCTGCCCCACTTCTTAGATCGATCTTTCTCATTCCACTCTGATGACCTGGCTGCACCCCTGAAGAGACACTAAGCAGAAGGTAGGCCACAGAGGGGAGGACCTGTGCTTCAGAAACAAGAGGTGGTGTACCCCAGGGTGCAGAGTTTCTTCACAACAAAGCTGGAGTTAGAATCCAAGTGACCTGACTCTTTCAAAGCCCAGCTCCTTCCAGTTCTGCACAAACATGACAGAGGCTGCCCTGTGTCAGTGCATCCTCTTCCACCCGACGGCTCAAGGGGCAACCCTGTCCACCTGGTGTGGCAAGGACAATGAGCATCACTCCTTGCTCTGTCCTGTGGGATGTCTGCAGGCTGGCACCAGCCCTCTGGTATACCTTCTTGATTGAGAGTGACAGCTGTCCCCCTGGGAATGGCTCACAGCCAGAATTATGACAGTTGTCTCAGCAATCAGACCAGAAAATTGAGGAAAAGGCCCAGTGAAAAGAGGGGCACACACAGTTGATTTTTTTTTTTTGCATATGCAGCTGACTCCATTCTCTTCTCTCCAAAATGTCATATCCTCCTGTCTTCCTGCTCTGCATTCTAGTCTCAGTCAGTCTCTCTCTGTCTCTCTCTCTCTCTCCTTCTCCTTCTCCTTGTCCTCTTCCTGCCTCCTCTGGTCCATTCTCCTTTAGCACTCTGAATCCACACTGACCAGTGACTGGGCTGTCTATAATCACAGTGGCCATGGTGTTTCCTTGTTTTAGCTCTTTGCTGGTGCAGGCATCATGGCACTGATGGGCTATACAGAACACAAAGGGATGCCTGCTGTGAAGGTTGGATTTGACTTTTTCCTGACTGACCTCTCTGCCCTTCTGGGCATGTCTGTTTTGTCTGTAGCAGGAGATGATGATGATGATGAAACTGGAGAGGAGAGACTACCCTCCTGCTTTGACTACGTCATGCACTTCCTGACAGTCTTCTGGAAGGTGCTGTTTGCCTGCGTGCCCCCCACGGAGTACTGCAATGGATGGGCTTGCTTTGTCGTCTCCATCCTCATCATCGGCATGCTGACCGCCATCATTGGGGACCTGGCCTCCCACTTTGGCTGCACCATTGGTCTCAAGGACTCAGTCACAGCTGTTGTGTTTGTGGCATTTGGCACCTCCGTGCCAGGTGAGCATGAGAAGGGCTTGCAAAAGGGTTTTTGCCTGGTTTCAGTGACTTCTCTGCCTTGCCTCCCTCACCAGCTTAGATCGGCCTTAATGGAGTCTCTAGGTGTGCTTCTGCCCTTTGATGCATGCTCTCCACTCCAACTGGACAAATAGCAGAAGTAATGATAGTTGGTGTTTCTTAAGCACTTCTAATGCAGCAGGTGCTACATGTGCTAAGCATCCTGGCAGTGTGCACCAGAACTCCAGTAAGCAGGGAAGTTATTGCTCACCATGACAGATGAGGAACCTGAGAACCACATAGTGAAGCTACCTGCCTAAGTGGCCAATTTCTTAACCTCCATGTTACAGAAATGGGCCACAAGGAAAACAGGTGTCTGTCTCCTCCTGTCTACTTTGGTGGTCTCAGAGGGGCTTGAGATGTCACAGCAGACTTTCCCACAAGCATTCTCCCCCTCCTCTGCTGGAAAGAGCATGTGAAAGTGTGAGACATATCCCAGACAAACTCAGGGAGTTTCACGAGATTCTGTCCTCTCACAGTCTGTTTTCCTTTGGCAATACGAAGAGTCAAACTAGAATAGGCATTTGTTGATGCATTCAGTAGGTAAGTGCTTACTGAGCACCTATGATGCCTGACACAGTATGGGTGCTGGTTCTTGGGCTTATCATGAGGTGAGACAAACGTGCTTCCTTGCCTACTGTGAGCATATAATCTGCTGAAGGCATGAGTGCCCAGTACTAAAATGAAAACCACTTTGGTGAGTTCTATGAAGGAAAGATGCTGTGTGAAAAACAAAACAGGGGACCTCAGCTCATCTGGGGCCTAGAGTCTCGGTGGTTTCCAAGAGAAGTTGTGCAAAGGAGCTGGACCTGAAGGGCTAGGAGTGATTGGTAGGTGCAGAGGAGAGCCTGCCTTTGCCCTGGGTCATTACTTAATTTGACTGAGTTCTCCATAACATGAACCCCAAACTCCTGCTATCCCAGTTGTCCTACAAAAAACAGAAACCACGTCTTCCTCCAAGAAGGTTAGGCTGGCTCTTACTCAACAGGATTCTGCTGGTTGAACTGGCAGGAACCCTTCCTATACCAAGAAACATATTCTTCTGGAGTGTAACTTCATCATACTCCAAGAAAACCTTTTCTGCAAATACTAGCACAGACCAGTGGTGTGGTTTGGACATTAATAATGCAAGATCAGCCATCCTGGAAGCTCACTGCATACATAGTAGGGAAGGCACCGGAGCACTCAGGGAAGTCTTTGTACACACAACATCCTGCAGTGACTGTCCTCCAAGTCTTGAGGGACCCGAGTTATCAAAGGGAAGGGAACAAATATGTGAAAAAAATAAATGTGGGAAGATGGAGCAATGGGCAGGTTAGAGATCAAATAGCAAGGTTGTAGACTAAAAGGTGCTGAGGTTTTCTCTAGGAGATCAGAGAAATTAGCAACAGAGTAGCAAATGAGGACAAGCTAAGCCGGGAGAGATCCAGAGGCTCTTCCACGTGTTGGCACAGCTGCCAGCATTTCAGAAGTGTGCTGGGCGCCAATCTACTCTCCTTCTATGATGGACTGACCTCTGATGTAGGCTAAAGGCCTGAGAGCTTTAGGGCCAACCTCTTAATAATTTCCACCACGACTTGGGGTAGATTCCTGGGGCCTCATCTTCCCTTTCCTGTTACAACAATAACAACAGCAAAAGATTGAGCTGGATGTGCTCACGGGTCCTCCCTGGGCCTGTGTCCTGTGCCAAGGTCTGAGGACAAACATTCTGCAATGGCCTATGAGGTCCGTTCAAGCTACAAAGCCTCAAGCCCACTTCCCTGAGTCCCCGGTTCACTCCCCACGTAGGCATCGAGGTCCACAGCGTGACCTCTGTTCTCAGACATCCAGCGCCTACTCCAATGCATCGGTGTTGCTCAGCACTGACCCCTGGTGACGGTCACAATCAGGTCCCTCCTCTAGGCAACTTCCTGGGGATGCCCAGGCCGTCTAGGGAGATAGCATGGGATGGCCAAGCCCTCTTCCTGTCAGTAAGAACGACAGGTGAAGCCCAGAGCACTGATGGCACATGCCCGGGCACAGCTGGAAGTAGCTTCCTTCCCCAAGCCCTTCCTTCTCGACCCTGGGCGGAGCTTCGCCCTGCCTGGCAGGGAGTTTGGGGGTGCACACCGGCGGCTCTTCCTCCGCCTCTCAGCGCTCCTCATCTCTGTGTGTGCTTTTGCAGACACCTTTGCCAGCAAAGCTGCCGCCCTCCAGGACGTGTACGCAGACGCTTCCATCGGCAACGTCACGGGCAGCAACGCCGTCAACGTCTTCCTGGGCATTGGCCTGGCCTGGTCCGTGGCCGCCATCTACTGGGCCATGCAGGGACAGGAGTTCCACGTGTCGGCTGGCACGCTGGCCTTCTCCGTCACCCTCTTCACCATCTTTGCGTTCGTCTGCATCAGCGTGCTCCTGTACCGCCGGCGGCCCCACCTGGGCGGGGAGCTCGGGGGCCCCCGCAGCTGCAAGCTGGCCACGACGTGGCTCTTTGTGAGCCTGTGGCTGCTCTACGTACTCTTCGCCACGCTGGAAGCCTATTGCTACATCAAAGGGTTCTGAGCCACATTGCAAGGCCTCCCGCAGGGCAGGCCTAGAACTTCTCCAAAGGGAAGGGCATGGCCCGACCCTTGCCCTCTCCAGGATGAGCAGCCCTGGGGAGGCAGCGTCAGGCCCTGAGCCCCAGGAATCCACCCGACCTAAGCCCTGGCAGTGCACCAAGAGGGCCAAGTCTTAATCCGCCAATGAAGGCAGCATCCACTCTCCAAAGCAGTTAATTAAATACCAACGACAGCAGCAACAGAGCCACCTGCACCTCACCCTCCCACTCATGCCCTTTCACCTCCTCCTCTTCCACCTGGTTATTCCTTGGCCTGTCATTCGTTTGAGGGCACCGAGCCCATTCCATTCATCATGATTCTGCCACTGAGCTGGCCAGACATGGGCACAAGTCAGGGCCGTGCAGCTGGTTGACAGTTCTCTCGTCATTGGAATCACTCTCATGGTTGCTTTTGTCTATATCCAGTGTGGCTTGTCATTTCCTTCCATGTTGTCTTTCTCAAGTTAGTGTCCAAGGCATCGTGGAGGGGTTGCTGCTCTGAGCTAGCCGAGAGGCACGGATTTGCAAATACACGCCTTCCGACTTTCCCAAGCTGTCCCCTGGCTCAGGTGAGGTCCTGCCCCGTCCCCCGCCTCTCTTTCTCTGAGTTCCTTGGGAACTGTGATGACTGGCTGGATGTCAGCTGGTGCACCCCCCTAGAGGGGGACAGAAGAAGGAGCCCTATATGCTTGCGTGGAAATCAAGCCAAAAGCTAACAGCACTGATTCTTCTCCCTGCCCAAGCCTTGCTAATTCCGTCTCTTTGGGTCCATGTCTGTATGTGTATTCTTCTGCAGGAAGACCCGCCCCGTGGGAGAGATAGGACAAAAATAGGGACGGCACATGATAACAGAGAGAGGGCAGCTGAGAAAAGAAAGGACACAGGCCTTCTAGTGTCTCCAAGGTAAGAGAGAAGACTTGTTCAGCCAGGGAGATCTTCCAAAAGGGGTGATGTTCCATGTGGAACACCCATGTTTCTAAGCTTGACAGGCTGCCTGCTCCCTCACTCCCTATGTGCCGTTTTCTAAGAAAGCTGGGTGTTTCTCAAAGGGATACAAACACCCACATGACCTCTCCCAGGGTTGTGTCTGCAAGCATCTTCCCAAGATGGGAACCAAAATTCCTTATCTCTTCCATCTTCCTGCTTGATTTTAAACTTCATGAGCCTCTATCCAGCCTGCGGGGTGTTTCCTCGCCCCCACAAGAGGAATCTCATGCCATAATCCCAGGGGTCCTGGGTTTATAAAAAAGAGAGGTTACCATGCCCTACAGAGCTTTGCCCAAGAGGTCTTGACAGGACTTGGCTTTAAAACACACACAACTCACCCTCATATATGCACACACACATTTACACACATACGACACTACACTACCCACAGATCTTCAGCTTTTCTGCATTGACATACATACATTTTATAAGGGGGGGGGAATAAATTAAGAAAACATCTGTTTAATTTTAAACACTTTTTTAAGAAAAAAGTAACTAAAAAAGAAACAGTGCTTGTGTCATAAGCTATGTTGACAGTTGCCAGTGGAAATGTTGGGTTGGTTTAAAAAAAAAAATAAAAGCTCTACTTATATCTCCTATCCACAGCTTGCAGCTCTCTGTTTCTTCAGCAGAAGGTCTGGGGGTCACCTTGGGTTTTTCCTGAAGCAGGTGCAGCTGAGGTGAAGGTGTCTGCTTGCATCACGTTCAGGTGCCAGTATGCCAGATCCTAAGCAAAACCCTTCACGGAATTGTCACCTGTCATAACACGGGCTTACAAGAAGCAGAGGGACCAAAAGAACAAGATGTTTTAATGGAAAGAATGTTTTAGTGTTAGAAAAATGGGGCATATGGACCTGAGTTGTGGCACAGCCAATTAATCCACCACCTGCTTATCCCATATGAGTGCAGGTTTGAGTCCCAGCTGCTCTGTTTCTGATCCAGCACCCTACTAATGTGCCTGGAAAAGCTATGGAAGATGGCCCAAATACTTGGGCCCTTGCTATTCCTTGGGACATCCAGATGGAGCTCCTGGCTCTTGGTTTTGGCCTGTTCCACTCCCGGCTGTTGTCGCCATTTGAAGTACTTTGTGGCACATTGAGGAGTGAATCAACAGATGCAAGACCTCTCTGCCTCTCTCTCTCTCTCTCTCTCTCTCTCTCTCTCTCCCTCCCTCCCCATGTGTGAAAGGTATTTATGTCTCCATCTGTAACTCTGCCTTTCAGTTAAGTAAATCTTAAGAAAAAAAAGGGGGAGGGGGGACAGGGCATGAATCCAGCCAGAAAATAATCTTTGAACATAATCTTTATTACTTATTTTTCATTCACTTCACATATTTTGGATGCCTACATGCATTCAACCGCATTCTAACAACCAAAGGTAAGAGATTTTTCCTGATGTCAAGGAATTCATTATCCAGAGAGGCAAAGTAAAATTTGTTTTAGTCAAGAAACCCACTCAAGTACTTCAGAGAAATGGAGGCCAACAGTACTGTGAAGGCCCAAGAGAGGAATCTTGTGAGGTCCAAGGTGAAAAACACAGGAAACAGAGTCTCAAAGCCCCCCAGGACTCAGGGCAGTTCTCCACAATACCACCCAGGCTCTCCCAGATTCACCTGCCCTTCCTATTGAGGTGCTCATCTTCCTCTGTCTCCCAGGACGCTGCCTCTTTCTGGCTTGCATCAGGCCCAGAAGCTTTCACCAGCCCTCACGCAATGGAAGGACCTCAGAGTTCCACTTCCCAGGGCCAAGTGGAACCCCTGTCCTCTCCTGTGAGTGCAACTGCTCCATTGAGAGATGATGACCAAGTAAGTGCTCATCCCCAGAGGCCGACTCCTTGGTTGAAGGACCTTACGTTGGCTGGGGCAGCCAGGCCTCGGTGGCTGAGGGTAGAGTGTCGGTCTCTTGGCTCTGACAGCTCAGGTAAGGAGAGGAGGGTTGTGATTGTAGGAATGTCCCTGCGCAGCCTGAGTGGTGGGAGGAGCCCGAGAAGCAGCTTAAGAGCAAGGAACAAATCAACAGCAGCTCCAAGTCACAAGCACTCTACAGTGACATAAACAGTACCATGGGACACCACGGAAAGAACCATTAAGACCAGCCCTGTGACACACTTTACGGGAACCGAGCAACGGTTCAAGTCCCAGCTATTCTGTTTTCCAATCTAGCTTCCTGTGAATGTACCTGGGAAAGCAACAGAAGATGTCCCAAGGACCTGATACCCATGTGGGAGACAGGTGGAGTTCCAGGCTCCTGGCTTTAGCCTCACCCAGCTGCAGCTGGTATGGTGATATGGAGAGTGAACCAGTGGATGGAAGATTTCCCTCTCTCTCTTTCTCTCTTTTTCTGTTGTGCAAGTATGCAAACATGCTCTGTGTGTTTCTATCTTTCTGCCTTTCAAATAAACCTTGGGAAAAAAAAATACTCCCTAGAAGAGTCAGAAGACACTTCACAAAGAACACAGCACATAAGTAGGAGTTTAAAGTGTGAATAGAAAATCACATCGTTGAGGACCTTGGTGTGGAATACACACAAGGACCAAAGGCACTGGAGTGACAACAGACGTGATGTGATCGCAGCCAGAGTTTCATGGTTCAGGAGGAAGAACTAAGGAAGGTGGATCCTGTGTGTGAGTCCTTTGTGTTCACAGCTGGGAATCTGCAACTGCCTGGGGTGGGTTCCTGAGGGCGTCTGAGGCCAGCGGTGGGTACTAGAGCATGCTGCAGGCTCTTTAATAGGGTTGAGAAGGCAGTATCAGGAATTAATACAAGTCTTGCCATGAATGAGCTAACTAGGCAGGATGAAACAGTTATGAGACCTGCGAGTAAAACAAAACAAGCAAAAAAACACAGAAAAAGATAGAAGTGTTTGGCTTAAAGGTCCATTTAGTTTTATTGCTAGACACTAAGTCGAAAATGAAAAATGCTTTTTCGGTGCTTAAATGAGAAATACAAAACTATGAAATCCATTTTTTGTGTATGGTCCCCTCCCTGTCTTTTAAGTCCTTGCTGGATTATTCAACTGTCTGGCTTTATCCAGAGAGACACTGGGATGAATCATGGAGAGTGGGGAGGAGGGCTGAGGGCAGCAGCCCAAGAATTGGGATCCTGGGCACTGGTCCAGACGCCCCCATTACTCTGTGCACAGGACCTGAGCCATCTCCCCTTTCCATTGGCTTCCTGAACTTGCGTGGGAGTGGTTTATATTTTTATCTGTTTTATTTATGTGAAAGGCAGTACACACACACACTGCTTCCACCCACTGGTTCACTGCTAAACTGCAACAGGTGGGGGTGGGTCTAGGCAAGCCAAAACAAGGAGCAGGACACTCAACGCAAGTCTGCCACTTTAGTGACAGATATTCAGTGACTTGAGTTGTCACTGCTGCTTCCCAAGGTCATGTGAGCAACAAGCTGGAATTGGGAGTGCAGTTGAGACTTGAACCCAGGCATCTTGGTACAGGATGTAGGTATCCCAAGAGGCATCTTCACCATAGCAACCAAACTCCCACCTGTGAGGTCAAGGCTTTTTTTTTTTTTGATGATGTTTACATAATTGATGAGGGTGGAACAGGTTGAGGATCAGGAGAAAGTAGGTGAGGCCATTGTTTACATATCTCCTTTTTTCTTCATGTATCTAGGGAAGGGGAGGTTAAAGGAGAGAAAGCACGCCCAGTCTCCCAAATGCCTCAGTACCTGGGATTGGGGAACTGCCACCCAATGTCATCCCAGGGTCTCTGGTGTGAAGTATTTTCTTTTATTCTGGTCATGTGGTTTTGATAGTTCTAAGATGTTGCTGATATTGCCGCTCCAAGGATGAGGAAATTGTTTCAAGGTCCATTGGTTGATAATAGTCCACCTGTGAGTCTCCATTCGCCCAGAAATGTGCTATCAAGTTTCGTTGGGGTAGTTGATCAATTTGTTCTGCCCTCTTTGCTCTGCAAGCCAATAGGTGGCTTAGCCCAGCCCTGCCCTGCCTACCACG